CTCTCTCACTGTGTCTCTCTCTGTCAAATAAATAAAATCTTTAAAAAAATAATAAAATAAAAATAAAATCTTTAAAAAATATATTTCACTTTTTAATCTTTTATTATTAAGTGTTTAAGCCTATGGATTGTCCCCTGATGGCTGCTTTATCTGATAGGCAAAATTTTTGTTACAACTCTATTTTAAGGATTTTATAATTTCACTTTACATTTTCCCTTTCAATCAAGAGTTAATAGAAGATTTTAAAATTCTGAAAAGGAAGAACCTTTTTCTGGTTTGAATTTGTTGTTAATTTTTAGCATGGATGCACTATGATCAGAGGATATTATTTCATTATTTCTTCTTCATGGAACTCACTCTTTTGTTCTTACGAACATTTTCTGCACACTTGAGAAGAGGGTATATGTTCTATTATCAGGGTGTGAAGTTCCGCATAAACCATGTGGTTTACTTTACTGGTTATGTTGTTAGGTCTTAGAAATCGTTGATTTTTTGTTGTTGTTCACTTCAGCTGTCTTGTACTGAGTGCGGCAAATGATAATCTTCTATTATATTTCTATTTATCCTTGTATCTTTTGTAGTTTCTGCTATATAAAAATGGTATTTGTATTATTTGGTGCAGAGATATTCATAACTTATATTTTCATTGTGAATCATGGTTTCTAGAATTATAAACATTCAATATAACATTCTAATTAATATAATTAATATAAACATTCTAGAATTATATCACATTTAATGCTTTTTAATGGAAATTCTACTTTATATGATATCAAGATCACTACTACTTTCTTATGATTTCTACTTTTTCTGAATCATTTTGTTTTAGGTGTATCTTTTATACAAAGCATAAAGTTTGGTTTTGTTTAGTAAGCAAATTCGAAAATATTTCTTTTGACAGTTAAGCTCATTTGTATTGATTGATATGACTGATGTGTTTAATCTCAATCATATTTCTTACTATAATTGTTACACATATTATTTTATATTTAATGTATTTCTCTAAGTGATAAGTCTTTTTTGCTCTTTAAAAAACTTCTTTTGGTATGTAGAAAAGGCATTTTTTTTGTTCTAAGGGTTTCTTTTGCACTTACGTGGTTTATAGTACTCTGATTCCACTTTATTTTCTTACTTGACCTTTTACAATCCAATTTGTTACTTTTAAATCATATTCTTTAGTGCTCAACTTATTACCTAGGCAACAGTCAATGAACTTATTCTACTTTGCCCTTTCCTTCTCTCATTTAAAAAAACTTCATTCTTTCTACTTATTACACCATATAATGTGTCCATATATTATCCTTCAACCCTATCCCACCTGTATTAGCCTTAGATCTATAGTTAAATATATTAAAGGCTCACCATCAGACATTTTGCCAAAGTTTTCCCAGTCTTGTCTTAGTTGGATGAACATCATTCTCTAGTATAATGTAGTCAGCAGAACTTTCTGTGATAATGGACATGTTCTCTATCTGCATTGCCTAATAGGGTAGCTATAAGCCACATTATGAGTATTGAGCAGTTGAAATGTGGCTAGTGTAACAGAGGAATTGAATTTTACATTTTATTTAATTTTAATTAATTTAAATTTAAATTGCCACATGTGGCTAGTAGCTACTAAATTAGTATAGTGTTCACAAATTCATGAGGAAGGAGTCTTGCATGTTTAAAACTGTCTTTCTATAACCTAGATTATCTGAAAAACAACTTGATTAGAATAGAAAATCTATGGCTGACACTAAAACTGCTGTTCCACTGGTGCCTTTCTGTGTTTTGCTGATGAGGTCAAATGCTGGCCTAATTTATTTGCCCTAGTCAGTAACTGGGCCTTTTTCATTAGAGCTTTAAGAATTTTTTTTTTCATTTTTAAAATCCAGTAGTTTTACAAGGCTATGTTTCAGAGTTAACTATTCCAAGTCAGTTTTAAGAGGCAAAGATGGACCTTTCAATACAGATTCATTTCTTTCTTTCATTTCTAAAAAGTTTTTTGAATTATAATTTTAAATGTAAATTCTGTTTCACTGTTTTTTTTTTAAGATTTTATTTATTCATTTGACCAGAGAGAGAGAGAGACAGTGAGAGAGGGAACACAAGCAGGGAGAGTGGGAGAGGGAGAAGCAGGCTTCCTGCTGAGCAGGGAGCCCGACATGGGGCTCTATGGGGCTCAATCCCAAGACCCTGAGCTCATGACCTGAGCTGAAGGCAGATGCTTAACAACTGAGCCACCCAGGCACCCCCACTGTTTTGTTTTTCTTCTCCAGGGACTCCAATTATATGTTTATGAGGTCTTCTCTGCCTCTCTTCCATTTCAATCACTTTCTCTCTGGCCCTTTCTTAAATCTCATTTTCATTCTTTTGCTTATTTCTCTGCCTTCTTAAGTAGCCCTTATTAAATATTCAACAGATTGTAATTCAGCCTCAATATCTTTCCTAAGTTTAATCAATTCTATTTCTTTTAGAAGAAGGGGGTGTTATTTGTTTCTAAATTTTGATTAATTTCTTTGAGCCTCGTTAATTTAGCTAGGAGTTTTATGCTACAGTTTCCTTCCGCTTTATAACTAGTTGTCAGGGAAGGATGCCATGAGCCAAAAAATTTTGATTTTCATTTTGTTTTCTTTTTACAGTAATTTTATATGGTCCATTTTGCAGGAGTAAAGACTTTGGGGGGCTTAAAAATTCCTAGCTCAAGACTGCTCCCTTCTGTCAGAATAGTGAGGTTCAGTGCCCTTTTTCATATATACTTACTTACTTGGGTGATAGAGGGAGTGAAGGGGAAAGGTCTGTTAAGTTTTATAGTTCCTTTGTTTCCAAAGGATCTTAATTCCTCCCTCTAGCTTCCTTCACTGACATATCTCCAAAAGGTCCCTCCCCCTTTCTTTTTTTAAATACTTTTTTTTTTTTTTTTAAGAAAGAGAGAAGGAAAGAGAGAATCCCAAACAGGCTCCACATTCAGCACAGAGTCTGACGCAGGGCTCAAATCCCAGGACCCTGAGATCATGACCTGAGCCAAAATCAAGAGTCAGACACTTAACCAACTGAGCCACCCAGGCGCCCCAGTCCCACCCCCTTTCTATTTATCTCTTTTCCAGAAGTGGTACCTTTCCAAAAATGCCATCTTAGGTCTTACACACTTTTAAGTCCTTTACCTCCAGCCAGTACTGTAATCTACCAGATCTTAGACTGCTTTCAGAAATTTTGCATTTAATGTGAAGCTTTATTTTTTTTTTCAGACTTAGGTTCTCAACCCCTCTCCTCTTTTTCACGCAGTTTTTCAAACTTCCCCAACTCTAAAACATCAAAGATAGTTCTGTTGGAAATTGGTGTTTTTACTTATTTAAAAATGATTTGAAGTTCATAGTATTCTTTCTCTCACAGTAAGGCTGAAAGTATTGAATAAGTGTGGTACTATGTATTTTCTTTCTTAATCTGTATGGTTTTCTGGGAGGATAGTGGACAAATTCTAATTTAGGAGGACACTATTATCCTAGGGCAACCAGGAAGTCCCTTAAATCTTTTTATTCTTATTGTTATTACTGATTGTGATTTGTCAGTATTTCATAAACATTCTTAAAACATCTCTGGAAATAGGGGCACCTAGGTGGTGTAGTCGGTTAAGCCTCCAGCTCTTGGTTTTGGCTCAGGTCATGATGCTCAGCATGGAGTCTGCATTAGAATCTCTCTCCCTCTGCCCCTACCCACTTACACTCTCTCCAAAAATAAATAAATCTTTAAAAAAAAAATTCCAAGTAATAAGGCAAAGAGCTAAGTTTGTAGATAAGTCTTCCTTTTGAAGTAACTTTCTTAAAACAAATAACTTTCTTAAAATGTCATGAATATGAGAAATGGATTCCAAAACTGAAGTCTCTCATATCTAATGATTAATTACAGTAGAATCTGATATGACACATTGCAACATCTGATATGACACATTATAGCTTATTGATTTGTAGTAATTAAAAGTCCTTTCTAGGGTGTTGGGTGGCTCAGTCATTTAAGCATCTGCCTTTGGCTCAGGTCATGATCCCAAGGTCCTGGGATCAAGCCCCGCATTGGGCTCCCTGCTCAGCGGGAGGCCTGTTTCTCCCTCTCCCACTCCTCCTGCTTGTGTTCCCTCTCTTGCCATCTCTCTCTCTCTGTCAAATAAATAAATGAAAAATAAAAAAAAAAAGTCCTTTCTACCTATATATAAATAATACTTTGGGCTAAAACAAGAAATTATGTTTAGAAGGTTATACAGAAAAGAAACAAACTAGAATCAACTTTGTTATTTTTCTTGTTATGATGATAATGCAAGAACATGACAGAGAGATTTTCCCATCTTCTGCTCTCGTAAAGTTCATTTATCCATCCATCCAACACTTACTGCAGACCACTAAATTGCCAGTCAATAGGGATACAAAGATGACCAAGACACAGCCCCTGCTCCACAGACAAGGTAGAGGAATATGAGTAAGTTGCAAAAGGTTAGATACAGTATAATATCCTTTAAAAAAGTTTGAAAATATGCAAACCATATTATATATACTTTTAATTATACATATATATGTAGTATAAATACAAAAACATCTGAGAAAATTATAATCAAATTAAATATAGAAGTTAACTCTAGGAGGATGAGCTGGGAGGATGAGGGGAATAAAATCAGGCAGGAATACAAATGTAGCTTCAATTTTATCCATAGTAATTTATTTCCTTAAAAAAGAAAAAAATCTGAAACAATATATATTGCAAAGTACTAACATCTGACAAAGCTGAGTGGTAAGACACATGGGTGTATTTGTTATATTATCTCTATTCTTTTCTGTATGCTTGAAATAATGAATTTTAAAAACCTGTATTCAAAATGTAGTTCAATTTACTGGAGTTTTAAATCAGAAGTTTCAGAATATGTTCAAGTTGTGTAATAAACAACACAAAATTAAGAACCAATTTTAGGTATGAATGAGAAAAATAACCCATCCGAATACTGTACACATTTTTAGATGAAGTGTTACACATACCTGTGAGTGCTAAATAAGAAGCAATGTACCGCTTTTCCAGTCCATCTCTAACACTCTGAATTGCACCAAAAATTGGAGGTATAATCATAATCAGGTTACTCACTGTATTCCCTATAGGAGAAGAACACAAGAAAATAATTATATTAGTCAATACCACTTTAAATAAAAATACATGAACTTGGCCCTTAATAAAAATTAAATAGGTGACTTCCAAGAAAGACGGTGGAAACATATTTACAAGGTGCTAAAGGAAAATAATTCCCTACTCAAAAAAAAAATCCTGTAAAACGATCTAATTAAAATAAAGATAACTTTCGACAAGTGAAACTAAGATTTTTTTTTTTTTAAGATTTCATTTATCTATTTGTCAGAGAGAGAGAGAGAATAAGCAAACACAAATGGTGGGGGGAGCAGCAAGCAGAGAGAGAAGCAGACTCCCAGCTGAGCAAGGAGCCTGATGCAGCACTCGATTCCAGGACCTTGGGATCATGACTTGAGCTGAAGGCAAACAATTAACTAACTGAGCCATGCAGGTGTCCCAAAACTAAGATTTTTCAATCAGAACATCCACTAAAGAAAATCCTTTTTTTTTTTTTTTAAAGATCTTATTTATTTATTTGACAGAGAGAGAGAGAGCATGAGAGAGAACAAGCAGGGGGAGCTGCAGAGGCAGAGGGAGAAGATGAGAGCCCAATGTAGGGATCGATCCCAGGACCCCGGGATCATGACCTGAGCTGAAGGCAGATGCTTAACCAACTGAGCCACCCAGGTGCCCCTTTAAGGTAATTCTAAAGATAAAAAGAAAAAGTATCTCAAAAAGAACCTCAAAGATACAGCAAAAAATGAGTTGGAGAAGGTAGCCATTCAGACTGAAAGAACGGTCCACGGATACACTAATGACAAGACAAAATATAGAATTGTGTTACTTTTGTCTGTTGAATCAAATAGCAACAAATTGGGGTATGCATTTTGCATGTCTTTTTGAAATTTCATTTTGCGGTAATATATTTAATTTCTTGTTTCTAGCAATGGATCTTCATCTGATTTTTGTTTCTCTCTTTACAAAAACAAAACAAGCCTCAAACATGAAAAGCAAAGAAATAATAAACACCCAAAAGCAGAAATAAATAGTAAAATGGGGAAAGAAATGGATAAACTATTTTACAAATAGATTCTGGGTAGAATAAAGTAGCACAAAACATCCAAATTCCAAATGAATGATTTTCAACATAGGATTTTCAACAGAAGTATCAATTAATGGACATATAGAGAACACTCTACCATATAGCATATACATTCTTCTCAAATACACATGGAACATTTGGACAGACCATATGTTAGACTACAAGTTCTCAACAGACTTAAAAAGATAGATAACATAAAAAATACCTCCTCCAACCACAACAAAATGAAGTTACAAATAAATAACCAAACAAAAACAAAAATTCACAAGTCTGTGGCAATTAAATGACATGTTCTTTTCTTTCCTTTCTTTTTGGGGGCTATGTGCCTTCCCAATATCACTCTCCCTTTTTTCTTAATAAAAGAATCCCAATGTTTAACCTGAATACACTGCTACTTAGCTAAGAAAACTACATTTCCAAGAACTTTTTGCAGATTGGAATGGCCATGAGACTTGGAGTTCAAGATAAATGGAAGTCTGCCATGGTACTTTCAAGAAAAATAGAGGTCTCTGCTTCCCCTTTTCTGCTATAGGAAATGTGGCCCCAACAGCTAAAGCCATCTTGGTCTCTGAGGGGACACTGGGAATCTAAGCCCATGTCAGGGAGGAAGACCTTCCTCTGCCCTATGGTCCTTCTAAGTGGACTTAGAATCAAATTGACAGAGGCGCCTGGGTGGCTCAGTCAGTTAAGAATCCAACTCTTGATTTCCACTCAGGTCATGATCTCAGGGTCATGGGATCAAGTCCTGTGTAGGGTTCCATGCTCAGCACAGAGTCTGCTTAAGATTCTTTCTCTCGGGGCACGTGGGTGGCTCAGTTGGTTGGGCATCTGCCTTTGGCTCAGGTCATGATCCCGGGGTCCTGGGATTGAGCCCCACATCGGGCTCCCTACTCCAGGGAAAGCCTGTTTCTCCCTCTCCCACTCCCCTTGCTTGTGTTCCCTCTCTCACTGTGTCTCTCTCTGTCAAATAAATAAATAACATCTTTTAAAAAAAAAAAGATGCTTTTTCTCTCCCTCTCCCTTTGACCCTCCCCATACTCATGCTCTCATTTAAAAAAAAAAAATCAAATTCACATGGGACAAATTTATAGAAGAAAAACAAATTTAACAGTTACATGTATGGAGAATCCACACAGACATGAATTTCCAAAGACAATGAGGCAACATGAAGCTTATATGATCAAAGGAGAGGGGTACAGTCAGAGAACGCTGTTCTCTGTGTTCTCTGTGGGGAGAAAGACCACCAGCAAGAAGGTGAAAGGAGTTGTTTGGAAAAACAAGGTTGCCCTATTATGCAGATCAGTTATGAAGGTAAAGGGAAGTCTCTCTTAATAGCTCTCTTCCTGTTATAGACTCTCCTTCCCAATGTAAATTTAGGGAATTTGGGGGAGACAGAGTTTTCTTGTTTTTTTTTTTTTAAAGATTTTATTTATTCATTTGAGACACAGAGATATAGAGAGAGCGAGAGCACATGAGCAGGGAGAGAGGCAGAGGGAGAGGGAGAAGCAGGTTTCCCGCTGAGCCAGGAGCCCGATGTGGGGCTCCATCCCAGGACCCTGGGATCATGACCTGAGCTGAAGGCAGATGCTTAACCATCTGAGCCACCCAGGCGCCAGGACAGAGAGCTTTTTCCGTATCTGCTGTGTTTTAATTACTTTTTAAAAAATTTATTTATTTATTTTAGTAGCAGGGCAGAAGGAGAGAAAGAAAGAGAATCCAAGCAGACTCCCAGATGAGTGTAGAGCCCAACACAGGGCTCGATCTCAGGATCCAAAGATCATGACCTGGGCTGAAATCAAGAGTCCGACACTTAACTGAATGAGCCACCCAATTTGAGTTAATTACTTTTAACTCAAAATAATCTTTATACCAAGATGGCCCATCTTGGGCAGCCTGCCCTGGGCCCCTACACCGAAAATGGCTAAGCAACAAAATGAGAGAAGCTTGTGTCCCTGATACCAAAGAGCTGCCATCCAAACCCCGAACTACCTCTCTTCAGACTGAAATAAATCTACATCTTCTTTAAGGCACTAATTTTCACATATTTGTTACAGCCAAACCTAATCCTAACTGATGCAAAATATGTCCTTTATCAGTGCACCTTATTTCATTTGAATTAAAAATGCTAACAGCCTCGGGGCACCTGGGTGGCTCAGTCGTTAAGCGTCTGCCTTCGGCTCAAGCCCACATCGGGCTCCCTGCTCAGCGAGAGTCTGCTTCTCCCTCTCCCACTCCTTCTGCTTGTGTTCCTTCTCTGGCTGTGTCTCCCTCTGTCAAATAAATAAATAAAATCTTTAAAAAAAAAAAAAATGCTAACAGCCTCTTCTCTGTGAATACAAAGCCTGATACCATCCTGAAACTGAAACACAAATGCCTGGTCTTTGATACATTACACATCTTTGGTAAATTTAATGCTATTACATGAATGATAAATCTAAATTAATACAAATGTTTTAATAAAGAATGATTTCATTTTTTATTTTAATAATGTTAAGATGCAAAGAGAAGTATAAACATGAAGTTGATATCTTATGTCAGCTCCCCCCCTTTTTTTAATTGAGAGAGGAAGGGAGAGGGTGAGTGGGGGCGGAGGGGTTGGAGATTGGGAGAAGGGGCAGAGGGAGAGAGAAAGAATCCTAAGCAGACTCCTCACTGAGCCCGGAGCCTGATGCGCACGCAGCTCAATCTCATGACCCTGAGATCATGACCTGAGCCGATATCAAGAGTCAGAAGCTTAAACAACTGATCTACCCAGGTACCCCTATGTCAGCTCCTTTTAAAATTACAGTTGATACATAATGTTCCACCAATTTCAGGTGTATAACAGTGTTTGACAAGTCTATACATTATGCTGTGCTCACTACAAGTATACCCACCACCATTTGTCACCATACAATGCTAATTACAATACTATTTCCTATGCTGTAACTTTCATCCCCAAAACTTATTCATTCCATAACTGGAAGTCTCTATCTCCTACTTCACCCACTTTGCCCATTCTCCATGGCAACCATAGTTTGTTCTCTGTATTTATGGATCTGTTTTTACTGTTTGTTTTTTAGATTCCACATAAGTGAAATCATATGGTATCTGTGTTTCTCTGATTTATTTCATTTAGCCTAATACTATCTAGGCCCATCCATGTTGTCACAAATGGCAAGATAACATTCGTTTTTATGGCCGACCAATATTCCATTTTATATATCTTCTTTATCCGTTCATCTATGGATGGACACTTGGGCTACTTCCATCTTGTGGCTGTTGTTAATAATGCTGTGATAAACACAGAAGTGCATGTATCTTTTCAAATTAGTGTTGTTATTTTCTTTGGGTAAATGCCCAGTAGTGGGATTACTGGATCATATAATATTACTATGTTTTAATATATTTTTTAATTTGGGGGTATTTTTTTAAGTAATCTCTATATCCTCACAACCTTGAAATCAAGAGTTGCATGCTCTACCTATTAAGCCAGCCAGGTGCCCCAATTTCTCTAACTTTCTGAGGAACCTCCATGCTGTTTTCCATAGTGGCTACACCAATTTACATTCCCACCAACAGTGTACGAGGGTTCCCTCTTCTCCACATCCTCGCCAACACTTTTTATTTCTCGTCTTATTAATTCTAGTCACTCTTGCCTTTTCATTTTGTTGATGGTTTCCTTCACTGTGCAAAAGCTTTTCATTTTAATGTAGTCCCAAAAGTTTATTTTTGTTTTTGTTTCCCTTGCCTGAGGAGACATATCTAGAAAAATGTTGCTAAGGGTGATGTCAAAGAAATTACTGCCTATGTTTTCTTCTAGAAGTTTTATGATTTCAGTTCTTACATTTAGGTCTTTAATCCATTTTGAGCTTATTTCTGTGTATGGTATAAGAAAGTGGTCCAGTTTCATTCCTTTGCATGCAGCTACCCAGTTTTCCCAGCACC